CAGCCGCGTTGCTGCTGCTGCTCCTGCTTATCTCAAGCTCCCCCGTGTCCGCGACAGTTGATAGGTTCCTCGCTGGCTCCGCTTCGCCTCTTGCCTTGCACACCACAAAAGTATTTCCCCCGCAAGTGTCACTACTTAGTAGTGTCTGCCTTCCGAAAGGTCAGTTTCTACAAGCCCGTCGTTGTCCTTACGTCTGGCGGAGAACGTCGGATAGCCTGAGCTTACAGCGCCGGTTCGCGCAGAAACTTCTAAAGGCAGCGTCTTATTTTCCGCGTCTTATTGCTCCTGCATCATTCCTGCCGTCACACTGTCACCCATCGCAATCACCCCTGATCGAACGCCGGCCTTTCGCGTCCGCACGAGCCACCTGTTTACGTCCCTGTTGAATGTCTGACTCGTTCAGCTTGGCGTGCCTTTCCTGCTACTGTACTTCCAAGCTTTCGAGAAATTCGTTACCAACGAGACAGTTCGAGTTCTCAATTGTTAGCCTAACAAGCTCCTGGCAAGTGTAAGCTCAAGCTAGCGTGGGGAGCTTGCTAGGGATTTGAACTCCTTAGCTCCAGCTCGAGTCCACAGTGCTTGAGCTAGAGTCCACAGTGCTAGCGTGTGGAGCTTGCTAGGGATTCATGCACTGTGGACTCTAGCTCGTGCTCCTGAACAAGTACGCAACCTCCGGCCGAATGCGCTAGTTATGTGCTCACAACGGCATGTCTTATAACGCGTCCTTGGCTTCCGTCAGCGTCTGCGCGAAACCTCATCTAGTAGCCGTCGACCCATCTGACGCCGTGCACCACCCTGGTTCAACCTCAACGGCATTGTCCCCCCGCGGCACGGCTCGTCGCTCTCCTCCTCCCCCTCTTTCCTTCCCAGGCCTGACGTGTCTAGACCAATCCTCCTCGTCTCCCGCCTCTTCGTTGACCAAGCTCTCTCCCGGTGGTTCTTCCAACTCCGCTCATTCCTCTGTCAGAGAAATTCCCCACTCCAAGCAACCCCTTGCCTCTGCCATGGGGTCGAATCCGTCCCCGTTAACGAGTCACCCGTTAAGCACCTCTACTGTAGATACTGCTTACGCAATAACAGTGAATCATGTTTCCACGTCGGATCATCATGACGGCCCGGGGGCCGGGGCCGCTGTCCTCGACATAAGGCTCCCCGTCGACCCTGCCGAGTCGTCTCCTTGCGAGCTAGATGGTGGTCGGGTATCCGGAATTGGGTTACCAGCTTCGCCTGGCCAATCGCCGTTTCGTCAAGGCGGCGAGCTTCCCCGAAAAGGCTCTCTGCAGAGTGATGCCAATAAGCGCGGAGGCTCGGGCGGAAAAGGTAGCGGAAAGGGGGTGCGCCTGCTGCTCCCGCGGAGATGGCAGGCGGCCCCGTTTCTGCTTCCGCCAAGGTGGCTGCGGGGGTATTTGCGCAAGTTCCGCGGGATTGGGGAGGGTCTCTTCCCCGCGTACCCCAGCTTTATTGTCGTCTTCTGGTCCTTCGTCGCCTCGTTCACGGGTGCGTGCATCCCTTCCCTTCATCACTGTTTTTTTCCCAAAATCTCTCTCTGGTGTTTCCGCCCCGTATGACTGTTTGAAGATACGCTTATTTGGATAGCTGCTTATGAAGTTACTACTTCCATTCGAATTCTGGAGACAGACGTGGTGCCTGTTGTCATGGTTCCGTCCCCCACCTCTCTTACCCTCGCACCGCACCGCACCCTTCTTCCCCTTTATACCCCCCCGTCCCTTACTCACAATCACCGCAGGTATATCTCTGTGTGCGTTTCTCGCGTTCAACACCAGCATGCAGCAGACTCTGAGCCCCCAAACGAACGGCAGTGGTAGCACCAGCAGCACCAGCAGCACCAGCAGCAGCAGTGGCAGCAGTGAAAACGGACAGCCGCAGCAGCAGGAAGCCGTAGCCTCGTTTATGATAGGCTCGTTTGGCGCCACAGCGGTGCTCATTTTTGGGACAATAGACTCGCCTCTCTCGCAACCCCGCAACGTCATCTTAGGGAGTGGAGTTTCTGCTATTATTGGAGTGTTTATAGCGGAGATCTTCTCTATAGGCGGACTCGCATTCCCCAACACGTCCTGGCTCTGGCTACAATGCGGGCTTGCAGTTTCGTTATCCATAGTGGGTATGTTGGTTTGTCCTATTCGCATCGAGCTGTCTGAGACATGTCGGCCCAGGTTCATTCACGTGTTTTCTCTGTAGCTTTCTCGCTGCAACCTCCACTTCCGTTACTCCACCTACCTACCCAAACCCCCCTCACCCCACAATTTCTCCCCCCTCCCTCCCCCCCCCCCTCCCCCTCCCAGCCATGCAATTACTCCCTATCGTCCATCCCCCCGGGAGTTGCCTCAGCCCTCATTGCTGTCATGTCGCCCCCGTCCCTGCGCTGCCACGGCCTCTTTGTGCTCACTCCAGTGCTGCTCCTGCTCTCCCCGATCCCCCCCTTCCCCCCTCCGCTCCCTCCCGTCTCCTCCCAGCCATGCAGCTGCTGCGCATTGTGCATCCACCAGGAGGTGCCTCGGCACTCATTGCCGTGATGTCGCCGCCTTCCCTGCGCTGCCATGGTCTCTTTGTGCTCACTCCGGTGCTCCTTGGGGTGCTCATCATGCTCACAGTCGCTCTCTTCATCAACAATATTGCCAGACAGTAAGTGATGAGGTTCAGGTGTTCAGGTGTTCGCTGGGGTACACCGTCCCTGCAATGCCACAGGTTCTTTGTGCTCACTCCGGTGCTGCTTGGAGTGCTCATCATGCTCACAGTCGCTCTCTTCATCAACAATATTGCCCGGCAGTAAGTGGATTTGTTAAGGGGTCTCAAAATATCCCATCCTTATGCGGCCACGACCTCTTTGTGCTCACCCAGGTGCTGCTGGGAGTCTTGATCGGGACTCCCAGCAGGACTCCCAGCAGGTCACACCCTTTCCCACCGCAGGTACCTTCTGTGCTGGTGGTGGCCTGTTTTTCTCGACATAACCGTGGCAGAGGGCTCCACTCCCCATGCTCACTCACATACCTTCTCACTTTCCCACTCCTTCCCCCTTTCTCTCCCCCCCCCCCCCAATTACCAGGTACCCCCTGTACTGGTGGCGGCCAGTTGTTCTCGACATCCCCGTGCCAGAAGGCTCCACGCACCACTCTGCGGTGACAGCTGGCGAGGCGTATCACACGATACAGCACATGCACGTGGTGCACTCTCCTGTGCGCTCTCGCGTGCATGCAGCACCCCAGCCGCCCATGCACCACCCCGGCCGCCCATCCACGGACGGCCATCGTGCAGCAGCAGCAGCAGCAACAGCACCTGGCGAGGCATATCACACCCGTACAGCACATGCATGCGGTGCACTCGCCCGTGCACCCTGCCACGCATCAATGGCTGCCCCTTCTCCAACCGTCGGCCGACACTCATTCTGCAACAGCAGCAGCCACGGCTGGCGAGGCGTGCCATACAGCGCAGCCCATGCCCACTGTGCCCTCTCCTCCTGCACATGCCATGCTGGGCGCCTCAGATCTTAACATCCAAGAGTCTGCAATTCGTGCTTTTGAGTCGACTCAGAAGCGCATTCCTGCACATGCCATGTGCGGCGGCTCTGACATGGAAACTGAAGAGCCTGCGGCTCGAGTACATGGAGGCAACAGCTTCTTGCTCAATTTGAGTGCTGGTCGCAGTGGCTCCAGGTCGCTGTGAAAGCGACGGCTGGAAGATCAACAGAGGTATTTTCAGCAGAGCAGGCCTTCGTTGGTGGCCCTTTTCGCCACGTCAGCATCTCTCCCTTGAGCCAGCAGCGGAAGCACCACGGCCAGCAGGAAGAAACAGCAGGTTCAGCAGCAGCGACAACGTTTTCCGGCTGGCACAGCAAATTTCTCGTGCTGTAGCACACTCCTGGACGTAGATGCCACGTCATCGCATCCCTCCCTAACTGATGACGTCACAACGGATGACAGGGCAGTTGATGACAGATCAGGGCACATCAGCAGACATGACAATAATGCAGCGGACATTGAAGAGTGTGGTGCACAAGAAGTTGATCAATCTGCAACCAATGATCGACCTGCTATTGCTGCATCTCGATCTGTTGATCTGCCAGCTGCTCTTGATCCAGCGGCTGGATTGATGCAGCTCCTATCTTTGAGGAACCACCTGACTCAGCAAGAGCTCAAGCCGATTCCGCCCGTTGTGTGACTGACTCAGCCCACGATACTCCGACTGATTCACCATCCGCTGTGGCTGAGTCAGCTAATGTCACAGCTGACTCAGCCCATGTTCCTGCAACAAGCGGGGTGCATAGTGATCCTAGCCACTACCTGCTGGACACGGGTTTCATGCCACCCTTCGGAATTGTATCTAGCGAAGGGTTAGTCGAGGGAACGATTGGTGATCGGCAAACACAGGATAATCTCGACAACTTGTGAGCAGTGGTAGTGTGAGGGCGGCTTTTTATTTTTGCCAATTGTACCGGTAAATGCAATACGGGAAGTATGCAAGCCTACACTTCACGTGCCCCTTGATCAAGTGATGTAACCGAAGCATGTCGTCTTTAACCACAATGTTTGCATTGAGGTTGCATGACCAATCTTGGAGCATGCCGGTTCCTATTTATTTGAGCGACTGCACCATTGAAAAATGGTGGCTATTTTCTAGTGCAGTATGTCCTTCACATTTGCATGTTCTAGACTCTTTTTTGCCAAGTGGAAATGCAAGTATGCAAGCATGCTGGCTTAGGGTAGGTACTCATTTGCGTTTACTCGGCAATGATTTGCTGCGCTCCAAGTCCGCCTATCCCATCGGTTTCACAACAAACGAACAAGCACTAAGGTTCCTGCATGCCCATAGCTACAGCTATTAGTTAGTAATTCTATCGCTAAGCTTTAGTCTGTCGGCACTAGCGATCCGTCCTACTTGCGCGCAATTCTCGCGTCAGTTCGTACGCTTAGGCATCTTCAAAGTGCTTGGTAAATATAAATCCGGAGGACTAACGGCAATCTTGGTTGGAAATTTCTCCATTAGCCTATATGGTATATTCTCCTGTTTTAACCCTAGGACGCGCATTTTACTAGATGGCGAAATCAGCGGTTCCATGGTGGATGGGTGATTCTAGTCGCCATATAACCGAACAACCAGAGGGCACTATCGTTTGGGCTAAGGTGCGACCTGGTCATAGTGCTGATAGCCAATGGTGCTGTCTTTACCTCATACTTAGTTACAAGCACTAATTGCGTGTGCATTCGTACATCTTCCTACTTCGGCTGTTTCGGATTCTCCCAGTACATACCATAATATCAAGTGTTTCGGTGATTAAAACACACCATAATATCAAGCGTCTCTCATACGTCTTCACCTCCCCCCTCACATGACTGTCTCCTATCTTGTTTCCAAGAAGCCAGGAGATAAAATTCCCTGGAAACTGCTCTCCTAGCTTCCAAGCTCTATCCTAAAATGTTACAGCCCATTGTTTCCGTCCAATTATGCCATTTTGGTCTTCGCCGCTCCTAGCCTCCATTTTGACGCCACACCTTTAGCCTCGCTTCAATCCTTCTACTCGCCTTGTCTGACCCACTTCGTATGCTTGCTTCCCTTTCTTCCCTTTTGCTCTTCCCGTTTCCCCCCCCCCTCCCCCCTTCCTCCCCCTCCCCCTTCCTCCCCCTCCCCCCTTCCTCCCCCTCCCCCCCCCCCCCCCCTTCAGAAACGCTCTCAATGGCATGCGGCGATCGTTGCATCACCTCTCAACTGCTCCACACCCACTCCTGATGCTCCTGGTGCTCTGAAAATCGCTCCTGGTGGCCCGAACAACGCTCCTGGTGCTTTGAGCATCGCCCCTGGTGCCCTGAATAACGCTCCTGGTGCTCTGAACATCGCCCCTGGTGCCCCGAGCAACGCTCCTGATGCTCTCACCACCACTCCTGGCGCGCCCCTTGTTACTCCTCCTACCACCTCCTGCATCAGCCCTCCTTCTACCCATCCTCACCCACTTTCCCCTTCTCCTCCCCCCCACCTCATGCCACTCCTCCGCTTCCGCCTGGCCTCTCTCCGAATGTTCCGCCCCTGGCTCCGTTACTGCTGCTGCTGCAACTCCCCTCCCCCCTTCGCCTGAACCTGCTGCTGCCACAGCACCAGTATCCGCTCAAGCGCATGGCGCAGCACCAGTATCGGCTCAAGCGTATGACACATCACCAGTATCGGCTCAAGCGTATGACACAGCACCAGTATCGGCTCAAGCGTATGACACAGCACCAGTATATGGCACCCGTCCACATCTCCCCCCGTCCGCTTATGTCTGTGTATTCCTTCCCCGCGACGCCACCTTTGTCTGGTGCCCCCCAGACTCCCTTCTCCCCGTGTGGGGTTAAGCCCGACCCACTAGGCCCCTCTGCAAGACCCGTTCTTAGGGAGTTAGTCTCCATATGTGAGGGAACGGGTGGGGGGGAGGGGGAAGGGGTTGGTAGTGGTGGTAGCGGTGGTTGTGCTGCAGCTGCTGCTGCCACGTCAGCTGGGCGTGGGAGGGAGGCGAAGCTGCTTCCTGATTGGGCGAAGCCGGTCAGGCAAGCGGCGGAGGAAAGGGGCACTGGAGGCGGGGAACGAAGTGGGCAAAGGGCTGGTGAAACTGAGCGTGACAGGGGCGAGGGGCGAGAGGGCCGAGAGGGCCGAGAGGGCCGAGAGGGGCGAGAGGGCCGAGAGGGGCGAGAGGGGCGAGAGGGGCGAGAGGGGCGAGAGGGGCGAGAGGGGCGAGAGGGAGGAGAGGGAGGAGAGGGAGGAGAGGGGCGAGAGGGAGGAGAGGGAGGAGAGGGGGGAGAGGGGGGAGAGGGAGGAGAGGGAGGAGAGGGAGGAGAGGGGGGAGAGGGAGGAAGGGGTGAGGGCGAGAGAGAAGGAAAAGAGATTCAAGAATCACCAAAGAGGAGTGGGGGGAGGAGCGAAGCAGGACGGGAGCAGATTCTAAGTCTTATGAGGAGGGTTGGGCTACTCACAGTGGCGACTGAAACACTCGATCTGAGCGACCAGGTCCCATTGGAGGTAGGTACATACATACAGCTCACAGCAGTAATGGCAAGACAGAGGTAAGAAGGGCGTGGATACTGAGTTTGATGGAGCAAGTTGGGCTGCTGACAGTGGCCAGGCCCCATTGGAGGGTACAGGCTACAGCTCGCTGGCTGTGATTTGTTTTTTTAGAATTCTCAAAAGCAGGCTACCAGCTCGCTGCTGTGATAGCAGGGCAGAGGGTAGCGAGGGAGTGGAGGAGGGAGGAGGGAGGGGGGAGGAGGGAACTGAGTGTCAGGAGGAGGGTTGGGGCTGCTGACTGGGGCAACGGAAATACTCATGTTGAAGCTACCAGGTGACTTTTCAGTCGACTCAAAAGTCATACTCATGTTGAGCTACCAGGTGACTTTTTGAGTCGACTCAAAAGTCATACTCATGTTGAGCAACCCAGGTCCCGTTAAAGATAATTCTTGTCTTGTCAGGTTGACACCTATTGGAGGTACACTTGGTTCGCTGGTCTTTCACCGCCCATCCCCAGTCCCTTCACCCTGTGTCAGCACTGCCTGCTCGCTCTCTAAGGTGACTTTTGAGTTGACCCAAAAGCCCCCCCTCTGTCTGTCCCTGCCTGCTCGCTCTCTGAGTCCTTTCTGGTCTGTTCATAACTGTTGCCTGAAGGTGCTTCCAACCTCTTTTCCCCTCATTTTTCTCTCTATCCTCGCCTTTACTCCCCCCCCCCCCTCCCCCCCCCCCTTCCCCCCCCCCCCCCCCCCCCCTTTTCCTCTCCCTCTCTAGGCCGTGGCGCTGCCGGCTCGCTCTGTGGTTTTCTGGTCTCGCTTCGCTGAAAGGGGTGCCAGTGCCGAGTCGTTTGAGGAGCAGGCGCGCTGCTCAGTGACCTCTGCCAGGCAGGTGATTTGTGCTTTTAGAGATTTGTCAGCGCATACTATACAGTGTACAGTGCAGTGTAGTTTGAGGAGCAGGGTGCACTGCTCAGTGACCTCTGCCAGGCAAGTGACTTGGTTCTGGAAAATGCGAAGGAAGCATGTCTTTGCACCGCCGCATCACACCGTTGTCTTCTCAGCCGTGTCTTTTCACTCTGCTCCTCCTGGTGTTGTTGACCATTGCTTCTTCCACCCTTCCCTTCCCTGCCCTACACTCCCTCCCTCCGCCCCTCCCTCCCCCTCCCTCCCTGCCTCCCTCCCTCCCTGCCTCCCTCCCTCCGCCCCTCCCTCCCCCTCCCTCCCTCCTCCCTCCCTCCCTCCCCCTCCCTCCCTCTCCCTCCCTCCCTCCCTCCCTCCTCTCCTCCCTCCCTCCCTCCCTCCCTCCCTCCCTCCCTCCGCCCCTCCCTCCCCTGCCTGCCTCCTGCCCTTCAGATCATCCTACCACAGCTGCTGCATCCTGATTGGCTCTCATCTCGCTACGCCAGCTGGACCACCGAATGCATCACTGCCAGCTCAGCACCGGCAGTGCATGCACGCATCCAGGTAACCCCTGAGTAGACTCTCAAATAATTCCGCGGTGCCTTTTACGGAGCTTCCTGGCGAGATACTTCTAGCCTGGGGCCCTGCTCAGCACCTGCAGTGCATGCACGCGCTCGGGTAACCTTTTGAATCGACTCAAAAGCAGCCTCAAAAGACCTGCAGTGCATGCACGCGCTCGGGTAACCTTTTGAGTCGACTCAAAAGCAGCCTCAAAAGACCTGCAGTGCATGCACGCGCTCGGGTAACCTTTTGAGTCGACTCAAAAGCAGCCTCAAAAGACCTGCAGTGCATGCACGCGCTCGGGTAACCTTTTGAGTCGAATCAAAAGCAGCCTCAAAAGACCTGCAGTGCATGCACGCGCTCGGGTAACCTTTTGAGTCGACTCAAAAGCAGCCTCAAAAGACCTGCAGTGCATGCACGCGCTCGGGTGACCTTTTGAGTCGACTCAAAAGCAGCCTCAAAAGACCTGCAGTGCATGCATGCGCTCAGGTAACCCCACGCGCTCGGGTAACCCCAGAGTAGAATCAGGTACGTTATGACCTCTCCCCTCACTTCCCACCAGGATCCCTTCTGCAAGGCAAACCCATCCCACCTTCTTCTCCCCTCACTCCCCACCAGGAGCTCTCCTTGGCTGTCCTGTGGCCGTCCGTGTGTCTCTGTGCTCTGACAGGTTTCTCTGTCCCCACGCCCATGTGATTGAAATGTAGTCTTTGAGACGTCTCAAATCTACGCTATCCCCACACCCAGCAGCAGCAGCAGCAGCAGCAGGAGCAGGGATTCAAGCACCCGCTGCTCTTCCTTCCTTCTGCTCCTCCCCTCTCCTCGTCTCTCCCTACCAGCACCTCTCTTCCTCTCTTCCTCACTTCCTCTCTTCCTCTCTTCCTCTCTTCCTCTCTTCCTCTCTTCCTCTCTTCCTCTCTTCCTCTCTTCCTCTCTTCCTCACTTCCTCTCTTCCTCTCTTCCTCTCTTCCTCTCTTCCTCTCTTCCTCTCTTCCTCTCTTCCTCTCTTCCTCTCTTCCTCTCTTCCCCTCTTCCCCTCTTCCTCTCCTCTCTTCCTCTCTTCCTCTCTTCCTCTCTTCCTCTCTTCCTCTCTTCCTCTCTTCCTCTCGTCCTCTCTTCCTCTCTTCCTCTCTTCCTCTCTTCCTCTCTTCCTCTCTTCCTCTCTTCCTCTCTTCCTCTCTCCTCTCTTCCCCTCTTCCCCTTCCTCTCCTCTCTTCCTCTCTTCCTCTCTTCCTCTCTTCCACTCGTCCTCTCTTCCTCTCTTCCTCTCTTCCTCTCTTCCTCTCTTCCTCTCTTCCTCTCTTCCTCTCTTCCTCTCTTCCTCTCTTCCTGTCTTCCTCTCTTCCTCTCTTCCCCTCTTCCCCTCTTCCTGTCCTCTCTTCCTCTCTTCCTCTCTTCCTCTCTTCCTCTCTTCCACTCGTCCTCTCTTCCTCTCTTCCTCTCTTCCTCTCTTAAGCGGTCCTTGTATTGATTAAAGACGTTGTACATACTAGGCATGTGGGCCAACTCCGGAGACTATGAAAGGTGCGTGCACGCAGGGGGTGGGTGGCTGGAAGACTAGAGCTCCCCGAGGGGCTCAGCTATGGCAAAACAGTCCCCTAGGCCCATTTCGGCTCCGGGAGCACCCACGGGGGGATTCTCCGCCAGGGCAGCCTCGTTGATTTTCCCGAGGTAGGCCAGGGCCTGCGCCCGCTGGAGTGTGACGGACCAGCGCTGGCGGAACTGATGCAGGAGCTTCGCCGCTTGGTAGGAGCTTGGGTCCGCGTTGAACAGCCGTCTAGCTCCCATGTCCGCGAGGAGTTTCAGGAAGCTGGGGACCTCGGCGCAGGGGCAGCCATAGGTCTCCACGGCCAAGGGGAAGAAACCGACATAAGGTGCGCGGTTACGGTAATGGTCAATCTTTTTATCGGCTTGTTCCCGGGCCATATAACCCCGCCCCTTGCGTGCGTGCGGGTCCCGGGTGCTGATGGGATCCGTGACGGTGACGTCACAGATCCACACGGCGCCGGAGACCCTGTCGCGCATGGCTAGGTCCGCCTTGTGACCGTCCACCGGACTGTAGATAGTGGTCTCTTTTGTGACAATGAGCCCCGCGTCCCGCGCCATACGGATGCACTCGTCGCGGAGTGCGTTGTGCGTGTCTGTCCGGCCATGGCCCGTGCCGCACCGGAAGAGGTGGTTGGGCAGCCGGGGGTCAAGTATCTCGGTCTCGTCGGCGCAGTTGCAATTGCGTGGGGCTGGGAAAGGGAGGCCGAGGCGGAAGGCGAGGGCGATGGCAAAGTGCGGAGGTCCGAGGCGGAGAGAAGGGAAGATGGGGATGGCGTGGAGCCAATCCCCTGCCCCGTAACCCGCCAGAGAGAACAGGCGCTGTGTGTGGCCAGAACTGGGGTTCAGCTCCATCTCGCGGGACGCCGTCACCTGGTCTGCATATCGGGCGGCGTGGACCTCAAGGGAGAGTCGGTGCTGGAGTGGGGTGCCAGAGGGCTC